AGAAAGTGCTTACACCCTATGCGAAAGAGGCTTCTTTTGTGAGCATTTTGTTTTTTTATTCATTGATTTAACTCTAAAAGTTTCCGAATTACAGCTTTTTTTGCTGAATCCTTGCAGATTACCAACTTTCTGAATTTGTCGAGAAACAATTTTCTAATGAAATAAACTGATGCCAATAATTTTAAAAAACTTTTTTATTAAACACAAAGTTATAAATTGGGATGACTGCTTGATACCGTGTATTGCCTCCTCCATTGGTATACGCTCCCATTCTTCCACTAATGCATCTGCCATTTCTGCGAGACTTTCCGGAGACCTCTTGCGCTAAAGTACCCTTCTCCCTAATTCATCCCACAAATGTTCTATAGGATTCATATCGGGGCTTCTCGCAGGCCATTGTGATGTGGTAATACCAGTAGCTTCTAAGAAGTTTCGCACTATTGCTGCGGTTTGTGGTCGGGCATTATCCTGCATCAATATAAAATTATTGCCCACTAACTCTGCATAAGGTAAGACATACTGCTCTAAAATGTCAATGTAAATTTGGGCATTCATCGACTGCCTCACCGGAAAAACATGAAGGAGTGTCTTTCCATTCATTGAAATCCCTCCATAACGGACCCACCATTAAAACTTTCGCATTCTGTTATTACATTTTGATTAAACAGTTCACCAGGTCTTCTCCACTCTTTTTCTTCCATCCACCATGTTAAGGCAAAACCTTGACTCATCCGTAAACAAGACATTCGACCATTCAGGAATATTCCACTGTCCATAATTTTCAACAAAATTTCTTCTAGCAGCACGATGTTCGGGCAATAATTTGGGACCTTTTGCAGGTCGCCTAGCTTTTAAATTAACTTCTTCTAGACGTCTACATACCGTCTGCTTACTTACTGCAACATCACGAATTTGGCGAAGATCTTGCTGAACATTTACCGCAGTATTTGAGCGATTTCGTAAAATCCACAATCTCAAGAAGCGATCATCTCTTGGAGAAGTTTTTCGGAGGCGACCAGAACCGACCCTCCAAGCGGTGCTTCCTGTTTGTTCGTATTTGCGGATTGCTCTACGAGCAGTTGCTTCATGAACTCCCACTGCACGAGCGGCGTAACGTTTACTACGCCCATCGTTTACTAACGCAACTAATCTTGCTACTTGTTCAGGATTTATTTGAGGCATTTTATGTAATTTTAGTCAATAAAACAAGACACTTAATTAATGACACAACGACAAATGGTCAAATATGGAGGCATACAACAAATCAGTTGCTATGGCAACGGCATTTGTTTTTTTAAAGACAATGTGATCCTATCAGAGTACAACCCAATCAATTTCGAGTACTCTGATCCTTCAATAAATTTAATTTGTGGGATAAGCGTAAGGTATCAGCAAAAATGCTGTAATTCGGAAAATTTTAGAGATAAATCAATGAATACAAAAACAAAATGCTCACAAAAGAAGCCTCTTTCGTATAGGGTACTTTATATACCATTACTCAATTAACACACAGGGTGAGTCAGAAATTAAGAATAAATCATGGTTCGAGTTATTCCACCACCATCAAGGAGGCTTTGAAACAATTTTCACCTCTTTATTTTTATTTAAAGACAAATGCATTACCTACCGACAAATAAAAAAAAATAAAAATCGGCCTACTATTTTTTTTTCAAGAAGATAGGTCACATATCAAGTGCGTCACTTTTTTTGGAACTGAGTGTTTGTTAGCATCTTCAGGAGACGATCAAAAATTACTTCATCGATCCAGGACGGCCTGTTTCACTAGAAAATGCGATATTCACTAGATTTTTAGCCGTATTGTCTCTCGGATTCATAAATGAAATTTTTTATTTCCGTGATGAAATTTCTGGAAAAATTCGAGGACTTGTTCTGAACTGTGAAACAAAAATAAGTGATTAAATATCCGAATTTTTTCACAATAACTTGTTGCTGTTTCAATGAAGGTGAATTGCTGTCATTTAGCACACTTTGATCGTAAATATCTCAAAAACTATATGTCCTAGCGACCAGTTCCATGTCTGAATCGATTCAGGACGGCCTGTTAAAATGAAAAAATTGCGAACATTTTCGAATTTTTGTGAATTATTTGACAGTGAAACGAAAAAATATGTGATCAAATATCCGATTTTTTTACAATAACTTTTCGGTGTTTCAATTAATTAATGATAGTGAATTGTTGTTTTTTAGCTCACTTTGATCGTTGATATCTCAAAAACTATATATGCTCGAGGTCTCAATTTATTCAGAATGACCAATTGAGATTTAATCTTATCCTGAAGATGCTAGAATAGCAAAATACGTGTCAAAGCGTTTATAAAATCAGCTTGGTTAGTGGTAAAACAGTGTAGTGAAGAATAATTGTCCAATAAAAAAAATCAAATCCGAATAATTTCAGCCTTTTTAATATACACGGTGATGTTTTTAAAAAATATATGACAATGTTAAAAAAATTAGAGTGAAAAAGCAATATTTACCTTGGGTTAGGAATGAAACCAGTTAGTTTTAGCAGGATGAATGTGAAAAGCATGACAGCTGTGTTACTTAGTGTCTGACACCTAAATAAATGCAATGCACTGAAAGAGATTCAATTCTCAGGTAATAGGAACACACACCAACAACAAAACCAAATATACACTGAAACACCTAAATCAAGACAAAACTACAAGTGTGCAGGGATATTCAGTTTGATCTCTGGTTTCGAGATATTCCTACTACTACTAGTCAAAATACTTTAATTTCAAGCAAAAAAAATATCAATCACAATTTTCCACTAATATCACAAAAAAATAATAAAAAATCACATGGGAAACTTATTAGACAAAATTTTGCAGGCCGGATAACTAATTTTTGTTCCACATAAGTACAACACAAAGTATGGCATGATAAATCCTCATATTTATAGGTCACCATTCAAGATTAGTGCACTAAATTCAAAGTCAGAGAATTTAATGAATAATCCAGATGAGATGAATATTATCTTAACCACAATGAAAAAAAAAATCTAATTTTATCTGCAACTGCAGATTCAGTGACCTTTGCGCGTATTTTTTTCAAAATAGGTATCATATTCAAATATAAAATTAACAACCTTTTATGTTGACAATCTCTCATACACACAAAGTATGGCATGATAAATCCTCATATTTATAGGTCACCATTCAAGATTAGTGCACTAAATTCAAAGTCAGAGAATTTAATGAATAATCCAGATGAGATGAATATTATCTTAACCACAATGAAAAAAAAATCTAATTTTATCTGCAACTGCAGATTCAGTGACCTTTGCGCGTATTTTTACAAAATAGGTATCATATTCAAATATAAAATTAACAACCTTTTATGTTGACAATCTCTCATACATCTTTCAGAGAATGTTAAAATTTTATTTCTATCCATAGTTATCGAATTTATGATGATAGTAATATTCAGTCAAAATTTCAAGAAAACTTGTCGTCGTTTATGTGAGAAAATCTGAAAAAATGAGTTTTTTTAACTGGTGAAAACATTTTCTCACAGTTTACACTAACCAGATTTATTCAACATTTTTCGAATATTCAGATTTTTTCTCGAGGGTTTTTATATCAACCGCAACCCATTAACAGCCAGCGTCCTCGTTGGAGGACGGTATATTTAGGCAGGGATACAAAATTAATATGTCAAAAAAATTTTGACAACTGCAGCAGGTGGTATCAGTGGACATGCACTAGGCTAGAGTGTACATCATTGCATGTAAATCGTAAAAGGCCTAAATAAATACATAGTAGGAATATTGTGTGGGAGCTTTGTGTCCTGGACTGAGGAATCTAGGCTTTAGATTGAAACATATTTTATATTGACTAGCACATATTTATATAGCTCCCAATGATTAACTCTGCTAACCCTTGTTAGCTGAAATAGATCTTCTGCGAGCTACAGATATCACAATGGCAAATATAATGATATACAAAAATGCGACTAACTCACGATGAGAAGAATACTGGGTGGAAAAAGAGGTATTGCTCTGGATTTTATTTCTATTAGTAGTTAGTATTTTTTTCCCATGATGCCACTCGATAGGTTACCGAGCGTTTCCCAGGGTTTAAATTTAATGTATTCTTTTCAATAACACTCTGTACAGCCCCAATCAAATAACAAAGCTCAAATTCGAAACGACAAGAAAGCAAAGTGCAAAGCACAAAAAAATGGTTCGCGTACCGACCACAAAAACCTGCCTTCAGGTTGACCTCGATCGACACCGAATCGTCCCTAGTGATTGGTGCCCGTTAAGGTGACGAAATATAGAATATGTCACATGCCAACAACGCCAAAATATCGTTCAAATTGCTCGCCTGAAACCGCTTTCCTTCAATGCGCAGGAATCCCCAAACTGTCTGACCCAGCGTCCTCAAATGAGTACTTCATTTTTTTCGATTATTAGACAAACTCAGCGGACATTCTGGTACTGATACAGTATAATTTGAAAACTATTATTGTACAGCCTTTATATATACATACAGTCGGAGATGTTCTCGTGAATACTACAGAATTTTGTTTCACAATTGAGAAATTGATAAAGAACCTTCAATGTTGGACTAAAATATCAAAAATATGAACGACTACACCAGCAGTATCAAGTGGAAACCCGCACCATATTTCTGTAGACAAAATCCTACATGATCCGGCTCGAAGGACCATGTATGATTTGGCCTACAGAAATATAGGGCTGGTTCCCACTTGATACAGCTAGTGTAGTCTTTTAATAACGAAATTTTATATTTTTTGATATTCAAGTTGAAGGTTATTTATCAATTTCTCAATTGTATAACAATATTCTGCAGTATTCATGACATCACCAAAGACTGTGTACATAAAGGGTGAACAATAATACTTATAAAATTATACAGACACTATGTTTTATATCTCGAAATAAAGCCACAATCAAATAATGAAGCGCAAATTCGATACAACAACAAAGCAAAGCATACACATTAATTACTCACCGGCCGGGCAGAACCTGCTCTCGGGTCCATCGAACACCTTCAGGTTAACATCGACCGGCACCGAATCGTCCTTCAAGGTCAGGTGTGGCGGCTGGTCGCCCTCGTGATTGGTTCCCGTTAGGGCCACAGAGGTCAACAGGTCGAAGCTGATCTTGCCGTCCGGTTTTGGGTACTCGATCGGCGTGCACTCTTTCGCCGGTTTGAGGCGTTTGTGGTCGGGATCTGGGCAGAAAAATGAAATACTTAATATAGTGAAAAACTTTACTCCACTTTGAGATAATATGGGCTTCTTCAGTAGATTGAGAATGAAATAGTTCATTGCTATAGAAGTTTTATGGTTTTATGCTTAAAGTATTATCATTGTCGTTCTAAATGAAAACCCAGTTATTAGGCAACAGGTATGATAGTGTAATGATATTCCCCTGAGAAGGGCCAAAAAATCATCAAGTGGGCAAAACAACAACGATATCCCTGTACAACGACTTCAAGGATGTTCTTAAACATCCCAATAATCTTAACAGGTGCCAGCGTATTTCCGAACACCCAATATATGTATCGAAGCGACAGAAGATTCTCGAAGCAAACTCGAAGCAGTTAGAAACAATTATGGAACTGTTAGATTGAGAGAGAGAGGTAATGTTCTAAGAAGTTTCTAGAACAATAGAAGGGTATGAAAGATGATTGATAACGTTCGACAAGCGATAGCCTGCCAAGTCAACTCATCTATACGAATATTATAAATAGGAAAGATTTGATTATTTGTTTTGTTTGTTTATTTGTATTGAATAGGCTCCGAAACTACTGAAACGATTAGAAATATTCTTTTACCATTAAAAACCGACATTATCCCTGATGAATATAAGCTACTTTTTACCGCGGAAAAATTCTTCATTCCTACGGGGAAACGGGTAGTAAGAATTATCATTCCATATGTATATTCTTCACATAACTTCTAACTAGCTGAACCGGTTGGTTTAAATTTTATGAGTATTTCTATGGTTTCCTGAATGATTTAAAAGTACGATCGAAAGCGGTATGTGGCGCTGCTGTCGGTACGTCAACTACTAAAATGCTTGACCGATTGGGTTGGAATTTTTAATATGAAAAACAACAAAAATATACAAAACACATTGACAGAATAAAAATTGGTGTAAGTATAAAAAAGTAGCTATAGGTAACCATGAAAATAAAAAAATATGTACTGTAGATACGAGCATAGCTCACAATGACTGCAACAAATGTATTATTTTTTTTAATGGGTATACTACTCATGCGAAGCCGGCCCGGACAGCTAGTATAATGTAATGTCTAAGTGGTTCAGGCGCAGCTCGACGTTTAGGAAGGAAACACTTTTATTCGATTTTATTCGTCTATTCGAATTATTGCATAGATTTCGGGTAGATGTAATTCAATGTTCTGCGTGGTATATATCCAGGAAAGTGAGTATTTGCCTTTTTCCTAGTTGATATATCATTTCGTACCAGTTGACGTTAGAAATCTGCAGCCGACTCTTGGACTATTGGCTCGCACGGCGAATGTGAGCATGCGTAGTAACATGCGAACATGCACATTCTCACACAGTTGCCAGATGAACTCGTAAGGAAGTTCATAATAATTCATCGATCTCTTGTTAGCCATTCAATTAATATCTGCGAGTCTATGAATTTTGTCGTGAAAATTGCATAGCATGAATTTTGTAAAGCTGTTGATAATCAGTTACAAGAAGTTTTGTAGGAAATATGAACTACATCCTAATGCATAAATATGAGATTTGCGTATGAAAATATATAACTGACAATGTTGCCGACAATGTGCGCATGATCACCATTGGCGTAAGCACATTGGTTGTATCAGATTTCCGCGATTTCTCACACTTGCATTAACCTTCTAGTTATATGAGTTCTGTGCACTCACCTCCGTGTTTCAACGTCCACGGCTCTCGTCCGCCCAGCGCGATCGACACCCCACTGTGAACCAGCCCCCCGTACAGTCCCAAGGGATTATGAAAACTCGGCCGAATGTTCCGCACAGCTTTCAGTTCTTTCCACACCCAGCTACTCTTCATCCTGTCCTCGTAAGAAGCGGGTTCGAAGCCCTCGGTGGCTTGCTTTTCGGAGTTGATGGCTTCGTAGGCGCTCTCCGCTGCCACCATGCCGCTCTTCATCGCGTTGTGGGTTCCTTTGATTTTCGGCACGTTCAGGAATCCTTGGGGAAAAAGAGAATGGGCAATTCCTCGTTTGTGCTATGTGCTACCGGTAATCGGTATAGCAAATAGCACGGCCAAGAATTTTATAACATCCTGGGCCGACAACAAAAGACCCGAGTATTGGCGCAGTCTACCAGGCCTAGCCCATTTCAAAGCATTCATTGCTTGTACAAGGAACAAACAGGACTCTGACAAACTAGTAAAACTCAGTAGAGCACATCTCAGTAGTAGGTTTGCTCACTGGCCATTGCAAACTCAAATACCACATGCACAAAATCAGACTTGCACAAGATGCAGAGTGCCGACTATGCAGGAGGAGGATTAAACGGCAAAACACATTTTACGTACATGCCCTGCAGCGGCCAGCATCAGATTTTCAACATTTGGCAATACAACAGTAGGGCCAGAAAACCTGATAAATTGTTCTCCCAACGTACTTCTTAATTTTGCCAAGAGATTAGATATATTGGGAGAAATATAACCATAGGGTGAGCCACAATAGGCCATAGGCCGCAGTGGAGAACCTGACATGGGCCCACTCACGTTTAACTTTACCTTAACCTCAAGTCCTCGTTCGAGGAAGTTGATTGCTATTTTATTTCAATATCAAGGAAGCAAAGGTATCCATTTCCTCCAGCGGAGGTCATTAAACACATATTGGTTTGCTTACATCTCGCCGACACACACTACATAATTTTTGATACAAATATGAGTATCTGATATCATGCTGATAGAGGTTCGTTTCCAAGGATAGCGCCGCTGAAAAGAAAATACACTTTCCTCACCTGCCGTATCGCCGACTAGACACCCTCCTGGAAAACTCAGCTTCGGGATGCTTTGATATCCCCCCTCCACGAGAGCCCTGGCCCCGTACGCGATCCTACTACCCCCCTCGAAATACCCCCTCACCGAGGGGTGGTGCTTGAAGCGCTGGAACTCCCTGAAGGGGCTCAAGTAGGGGTTGGTGTAGTCGAGCCCCACAACGAACCCCACCGCCACCAGGGGGGTGGGTTCGTTGAGGTGATAGAGGAAGGAGCCCCCGTACGTGTGGGGGTCGAGGGGCCAGCCGAAGGTGTGCTCTACTCGACCGGGGGAGTGTTTCGAGGGGTCGATTTCCCATACTTCTTTCAGGCCTGAAAGCGGGAAGAGATATTTCGAATGCATTCGCAAGGACATCAGATTGAATAATTGATAGAATGACACCGCGATACATCCATGGATCATTGAAAACTATACGACGACAATTCTATACGCCAAATACCGATAAATGGATGAAATCGCGAATGGTGGGGATAACGCTGCAGAATCAATCATTCATACATCTGATAAATCTGGATTTCTTTATATGTAACATATAAATACGTAATTTTGTGTCATCTAAGTGAGGTTATATGATAAATTCACTACTATAAACACGGTTTCCATCAACAACACCGCTACATTTCTACGTACCTGTGAAATATCAGGTTAGGTTGACTTTACTTGACAGATTCGACACTGCCGAACCAGATTCAGACACAAAATAGTCGACTTTCGATTTATATTAATAAATGAGTAACTGAAACAGCAAAAACTAATAACATAACGGCCTGAAAGCCATTGAAAACAACAAAAACGACAAATGACGTTCGTTACGATTATTATTGCTAGTTTACTACGGTACTGTGTGGAGCCGCAACGTGCACCTTCACTGACACTTGTATATTTGTGGGCGAATACTCATGCTATTGAGACAATATGACTTGTTTCATCTTGATGTTGCTACTACACTTGATCAAAAAAAATTCACTCATGGAGCCAGAGAGCTATCTCAAAATTCAATAAATTACCTGATGATATCAAAAGTTGCACAAATATCGCCCAATTCAAAATTGAAGTCAAGAAACATATCCTCTTGCAGAGAGAAAATCAAACCTGAGTGAATGATTTTTCATTCACTAATTTATTTCATAATGTCATAATGTACTTTTCATGAGCTTTTTGTTTTATTATTTTTGAATCTGTTGTTTATTTCAATAAAAGATTTGATAACGCATGAATAATCTCATACCAGATATGAATCTGTCTGATTATTCATGTTATTTCATTGTAAATCTTAATGAGATATATTTATATTAATAGGAGATACAATGTAATGTTTGTAGCAAAGAATGAAATGAATATTATTAAAAACCCAAATAACCAACCGTAACAATGTTGTTCAGACTTGATGACCTAGTACATCCTTCTTTGTTCCTAGAAGCCAAAGTTAAACTTAAGCTTCTAGGAACTAAAAGTGTTGCCTAGCAACATAACTTTGTTTGTGTCAGTAATAGAATTGTCCATCAAAGAGCTAATTTTGGTATTAAAATGAATGACTTTTGTGTCGGTTGCAGAAAAAGTAAATCTTTCCACTAGTAACTCTGAGCTTCGACTCACCTATACCGTAGGTCTGAGCCTCGCAACCGCTCCTCAGCCCGAACCTGCCAATCACCTGCTTGGCCAGGTGTCCGTGACACCCCTCAGCAAAAATCGTACACTTCGCGTGCAACTCCATGCCCCTCTCGAAACTGCCCTTCGGAGAACCGTCTTTAGCGACGCCGACGTCGTTCGTCGCGACGCCCTTCACGCTGCCGTCGCCATGGTAGAGCACCTCGGAGGCGGCATAGCCTGGGTAGATCTCGACGCCGAGCGACTCGGCAACGGTGCCGAGCCACCGCACCACGTGACCCAGGCGGACGATGTAGTTGCCGTGGTTGTCCATCGGAAGGCCTGTGCATGGGACAATAGTTGCCTTTTATTTATCCGATGCCGCCACCGGAATAATAATAATAATACTTTATTTTCCAATGAGACAATATTACAAATTGTATAGGAAATTGTCAGAACATAGAACAGAAGAAAAAATACAGAAAATGTAGAAAAGACGACTTAACCCTTTCGCGACGGGAAACGCATATATGCGTATTTCACTGAAGCATCTGATACACGGGAGCCGCATATTTTCAATCGACCGGAGAAGTGTTCTAACGACGGGAACCGCGCGTTATCGTCTCATCCCCTTCATTTGCATCGTCTTTAGATGGTTTTGGTCGGGGATTCTCGTACACTTCTGACGTTGTTTATGATCGGATAACAACACATGTTACAACGACGGGAAGCGGGTGGAAGCGGCCTCCGTCCACTAGGCATTCTGTTTTGTGTTCATTGTTTACTGATAGGTTTGTTCGCGTTCAAAATATACTAAATTATAAATCAAATTGAGTTTTTCTCATTATGTATCATTGCGAAATATTTTCTGAGAATGGGCCCAAACAACGGGACCCGCATAAATGCGAACGCGCTTTCGAACCCCGTTGTGGCGGCTCACGCGCGCCAAACGAACCCCGTCGCGAAAAGGTTAAAGATCAAGACCTATGTCTAGTCTAAAAATTCTGTCAGCGAATAATAACATTTTTGCATCAAAAAACTGTGTAGCGTCTTTTTGGAAAGAGCAAGATGCTCTGCATTCCTTATGTGGTCAGGAAGTTTATAAAAAATTCTTCTTCCGATGTGATCTGGAGGTTACTCTTAGTCTAGCAAATGGTACATGAAATTGATCTCTAATTCTGGTGTTATAGTAATGAACATTTTTATTCACTTCGAAAACTGACCTGTTTTTAAATATATACAGACATATTTCTGACATATATATATAGATACTAACGTTAACACATTAAAATCTTCAAAGAGTGGTTTACAAGATTCTGTGGCCGACACCTTTGCAATACATCGCAATATGCGTTTTTGGGAAATGAATACATCTTGCGCCATGCTTGAACTACCCCAAAAACAGACACCATACCTAAGTCTGGACTCTCCCTGGGAATAATAAATATTCAGCAGCTGAGTTCCTTTCAAAACCGAGCGCAAATTCATAAAAAGAAACTTCAGGGAATTAAACTTGTCTAGGAAAATACCCAGAAACTTAACACTCTTAACTTAATTTCCGGATATGTTACATATTGTCAACCATGAAACTAAATCTGTCTATTTTATTCTGTTTATTATGTATGCGGATAATCTCTGTTTTATCTGAATTGAAAAATAAATCATGATTATTAAAAAAATTTGATATCTGACTAACTGCACTGATACATTACAAAATTCTGGTATCTGAGGCAGAAGTAATCAAAGATAAGTCATCAGCATAGGCCGTATAATGACACCCAGCTATTACAGAATCAATATTATTGACATACAAAATAAACAGAATGGGCCCCAAAATGGATTCCTGAGGTACACCCATCTCTATATTTCACTTTGATGTGCCGTTTTATTTGCAACTTTTCCGATTCCGGTTGCTACTTTTTATTCTGTCTCACTACAAGGAATGACTGTTGACAGTTGTCATAAAATTATGGCTCCGAATTCAACTGGTCAGTACTGTCAGTAAATCCACCGACTCTGCTGAAAATCTGTATTCCGAAATAAAAAAAAACAGTGCTGTAATTTGGAACACGTTTTCATGGTTTTCATCAGTAATTAGCAGCAGTTGATCAGCTGGTGAAATTTAAATATTATTCTCAGCGTCAATTATTTTAATAACAGACATTTTATGATTATTATCAATTTATTATTGATAAGACAAGGCCTAATGCTTAAAGAACAACGTGAATGAATGTGAAATTCCTTCCCCCTCGAAAATAATGACAGTTCACTGAAGCCACACTACCTTTCAATAGTGAGTAATTTCAGCAGAATGTTGAGTCGAAATATTTGGAATGAATAGTATTTCAGCTCACAAGTATCTGTAACTTTCAGTGAATTTTTTCCATTTTGGAATGAAAAATCAGCAGATTCAGTACTGTCAGTGGAATTCGGAATATTGCATATATACGAAAAACGACACTTTTTGAAAGTAGAAGACATTTTCATCGCGAAGTTCACAAGTATATATTCTTTCAAGTAAGACAGGTTTCATATGTTCATTCCTAGATAAAATTAAATCACTGCTCCAAATATTCGTTGATTGATTTTCTAGATCATTATTTTGAAATTATTTGGAGCCCCAGTATAGGTCGCGTGCACGATGACCGACCCTGAAAGCAAAATATTGAAACACAACCTCACTCTTCTGTAAATTATTGAAACACAACCTCACTTTTTTTATTTGTTTACAGAGGAATCAAAGGATTGAAATAGTTTTTCACAATATTTTAGCATACGAATCGTGTTTTTTGCGCTATTCATTAATTCAAGCATGCCTTCGCATTGTGCTGTTGTACAATGCACAAAAAATGCAGCGAGAGAGGAAGGAATTTTTTCAGGTAAATAGTAATCTCACATAGTTTTCATTATGAAATGTTGTCATTCCTTATTGAAATTCCTTCTGCCACTTCTGCAATACAAGCTAATACTGCTTATAGATTGAAAATGTCTACAACACACATAATCGAGCACATAATCTTATTTCGTCAGCATGTCAGACCAGTCCTCCCGTTTGATTGCATGAATCCAATCTTCTTGCATTATTTTAGAAATTTTATGAGTATTAACTATTAGCTCCTATTGCAGAAGGAATTCCGATGAGAACTTAGAGGAATTACCAAATTTCAAAAATGAAAACTATATGTGAGTGACTATAGTAGGTACTTACTTTTAAATCATAATGTACCAACCGGATTCCTTCGTCTTCCACTGCAGTTTTTGTGCATTGTACAACAGCACAATGTGATGGCAAGAGCGAATTAATGAATAGCCGAAAAATATGATACGTATGCCACACTAATTGTGATTGTGAAAAACTATTTCAATCACTTGTAAACATATTATGAAAGTGAGGTTGTGTTTCAATGTTGTGCCTCCATGGTCGGTCATCTGACAGTTCTATACCCTCTGAGTTTCTCGTTTTATTTGTAAACGTCATTCTGTTCCCACCACCGCTACCAGAATGGAACAAATAAAACGCAACTAATAACTGTCGTCGTTCCAATATGTTATAGGATCATTTAGAACGTTCGAGAATGTTCCTAGAATCATCCAGAACGTACGAGACGGCTCTAGGACATTCACAAGGTTTAATAATGTTCTAGAAATCTCTTGAAGTTTCGAGAATATCCTAGAATGTTATATAATGTATCGGAAGGGTTGAGATTGTTCTAAGCGTGTTTGAAAATATCCCATAAGGCTTCAGAATGTACTAGAATCGTCCGGGAGTCCAAGAATGTTCCAAAATGATAAAGAATCTTCCAGCAAGTTGGAGAATGTTCTAGGAATGGGCCTTTCCAGTATCGTAAAAATGGCCCCCTTTTGGCTATACGTAATGTTATGGGGGGAAGTCAAAAACGTTGTTCCTACCACATATTTATCGAAAATACCGAACAACAAATGAATGATTTGATATTGAAAATGTGGCTGGGAAGCAATGTGCAAGATGGTGCAAGGTGCAAGGAATGCCATGATTCGAAATTACTATGTAGTATAGGTGAACCGTTGATTGGTAATTTCGTGCTGATAACACTCAATTTACTCTGAAATTCAAAGTATTAGATTAGCTAGAAAATGAGATGCAGGCAGGTTATGATGTTGATATTTCGGTAACCAATTGTAATAATCAACAAATTGAACAGTATATCTCAAGTACTCATTCCCAGAAAATTTACCTGCTAATCTGGCAACTATGTCTACAAAAGAGAGAGAGATGAAGCAACTGGCGCTAAGACAGTGTTGCCAAGTTGGAAATACCTCATACCCGGCATAACTTCACTGTTCTCATTTCTCAATATTATTGACAAGAAGGCAGTGATGCTTGTACTAAAATCAATATAAATAGAACCAAGTAAGAAATTTTGTATTGATTGATTCCGAGTTTGTTTCTTTCCCTATGGTAGTTATACAGTCTGTCCAAGATAAGGTTGAACAGCATGGGGATCTCGAGAACGGTAGGAGATACGAAGTCGGCTAAATGGGGAAAAAGTTGCGCATTCGGAGGCTCATATCAAGAGCCTTCGAAAATTTTCAAAATTATTTTTAGATTTTATATATCGAAAAAAGTTAATTTTTGGAATATCTATTTTATTTTTTTCTCCGTCATTATTGAAGATACAGTTGCTATGAAAAAGTATTTTCAGTTTTTCTGTATCTCTAATAGTAACGGAGAAAAAAAATAGATATTCCAAAAATTCACTTTTTTCGATATAACTCAAAAACTAGAAATAATTTTCGAAATGTTCGAAGGCTCTTGATATGAGCCTCCGAATGCGCAACTTTTTCCCCATTCAAACGACTTCGTATCTCCTACCGTTTCCGATATCCCCATGCTGTTCAACCTTATCTTGGACAGACTGTAGATAGGTACATAATATAGGTGAGTACCTATTCTCGAAATTTACTGGAAGGGATTTGAAACTGAATGTTATGAACATCTGCACTGTAATTCAATACAAAATGAAATTTCCCCTACGATTTTGAATAATCCACCCACAGAAATCAATCATCTAACTAATTATGCAATGCAATTTTTTAGTACCACGAATTTTCAGATAAGTAGTGTCAGTTGGGTTATCCACCAGGATCTGTATTATTTGATGATATGAAAAAATCGAGAAATTAATATCCGACTAATGATCGCTTCAGGTCCAAATTGTCCATTGTCAATTCCATTGTGCATCATTGGCAGTATTATTGGCACCCAAGAGGAGGTGAGGGTATTACCAATCCAAATTGCTGGCGCACTGACGTCACACGTTTTGCTGCAGTCTGATCGTTTGATTCGATGGTTCAATTTGGCGTTTTCAATAATTTTTTATACGATGAATTGATGGAGAAAAAAAAATAGCCTGGGTAGATCTCGACGCCCAGCGGCTCGGCAACGGTGCCGAGCCACCGCACCACGTGTGATACAATAACTGACGTCTTTCCAATATGTTATAGCAGAGATTATAAGTGTATAATCTCTGGTAATAGGATCATTTAAAACGTTCGAGAATGTTTCTAGAATCTTCCAGAACATACGAGACGGCTCAAGGACATTCAAAAGGTTCAATAATGTTCCAAAATGTTTGAGAATGCTCCAGGATATTCTAGAAATCTCAAAAGTTTCGAGAATATCCCAGAATGTAATATAATCTAGCAGTAGGGCTGAGACCCAAGCGGACGATGTAGTTGTCCATCGGAAGACCTGGGAGAATGATATTGACGTCTTCCCAAGATATTATAGAATCCTTAAAAAAATTAGAGAATGTTCCTTGAATCTTCCAGAAGTTTCTGGAATGTTAAATAATCTTCCAGAAGATTTGACGATGTTCTAGCCGTTTTTAACAATAACACAAATGGCTTCAGTATGTTCTTAAATCGCCCATAAGATCCAAGAATGTTTCAGAAAATCCAAGAATTTTCCAGAATGTTATGAAACGTTCAATGAGATTCGAGAATGAACTAGAAAGTCAAAAAATATTCCAGAATATTTGATAAAGCTCCAGGATATTTTAGAAATCTCTAGAACTTTCGAGAATATTCCAGAATGTTATATAATCAATCAAAAGGGTCCAGAATGTTATAAGCATGTTTAAAGATATTTCAAAAGGCTTCAGAATGTTCTAGAATCGTTCGGGAGGTCCAAGAATTTTCCAGAATAATGAAGAATCTTCTAGGATCTTCCAGCAGCAACAAGTCAATCAAATGTGCATTGAAGTTTTGTCTCAAATTTTACCAATGAAAGCCCTAGCTACGAGAAAGATAAGAAGACGGTCATCAGGAACAAGCACTGAAAGTGTAGCACTGTCATTCCCCTCCAATGCAGACAGTGATGGGAGTGAAACTTTCCGACGTGGAAAACAATAAATCCGCAGATCAGGAAGAAACCAGAAACGTTTTTTCCGAGAAGAAATATTCCCTGGCATACAAGGAGAAGAAGAGAGAAGAAGGGCAAGGGAGGAGATAAAAGCACAAAAAATTCTAGAGAATTCAACATTCCACCACATCAATCAACACAAAACAGAAATTATCACTATTCTTACCTTTTATTACCAAAGTACTGAATAATATTAGATTTATTATTATTTAGTATTTTTAGTACATGCAAATTTAATTACTTCTAAGTACATTGAAAACTCTTTACTAAATAAAGTAGGGGTAATTTTGCACTTATCATGTGATGGCTTTTTTATTGAAAATTGTTTTTGGTACTTACGTATTTTTGTCTGAAAAACACGAATTTGATAATGAAAATGTGAACAAACCACTATTTATCCAGATAGTTCAAGAAAAAGTTCGAAATTTTGCTTTATTTTCCGCCTTGTGTTGGATGCATTTACAGTAATTTACAGGTACTTGCTCTTTTTATTTTGTCATTGGACACTTCATATACTCATGATGTACTTCAATGACATATTTTAAGCTAGAAAATTCAACAGGAAATTTGATTTTTATGGCGAGTTTTTCCTATTTAGTGAGCAAGCATACCAGATGACGGCCATTCAATCCATAGGCAATCCAAATACAATATGTCAAAATAGATTGCTTTGGAATGACAATTACACAAGCCATTATTTCAAATGATTTTCTTCCTTCTTTTCACTAAACAAGGATAAATCACAAGAAAATCATATATCTAGTTGACTCATATAATAAAAAAAATGTGTCCAACATTGTGTGATATATATAAATAGTCCAATGATGGAAAAAGAAGGGCAAATTGTTCTAAATGCAAACCAAAGACAGGCGGAAAGGAAGGTGAAATTTGTAACTTTATAGTGAAATATCTTAATAAATAATGGTTTGTTCACATTTTCATTATCAGATTCGTGTTTTTCAGGCAAAAATACGTAGGTACAAAAAAAAAATTTGTAAAAAAACCCATTGCATGATAAGTGCAAAATTACCAAAGTAGGTAAGTACTCTTATATTTTTAAATACCATTCATTGAACTTTAAGTACTTTTAGTACCTGTTTATTACTTTTAGTACCTTAAGTACTAGTTTTTAGCATTTTAAGTACTTTTTTACTGAATTTAAGTACCAGATAATTAAATATGGTGTACACATTTTGGGCAGTTGTTTCCCCTTCCATCAAGAAGGCTTACTGTCCCTATCTCAACTTTTGATTTACTATCTACTGATATTTAATTGGGACAGATACAGGGTGACCAGAATTCTTGAATTTTGAAATACATCAAAATCTATTTAACCTTATTTTCCTAAAAACAGTTGCACATGATTTTTTGTATTCAAAACTTTTATAATTTTCAGTATGAAATTTTAAAAAATGCAGTAATTATAAAAATCTTTATTATTTCCCAAAAACAATATAAAAACTATTTTTTTTGCATTTATGTTATTCCCCAGTATAGGTACTTACTTACTTTTATTTAAAAAAAGAGAAAACCAAGTACCTACACAATTTCTTCATAGGAAATAGATTCTCATCTTGTTATTTCCTTGAAATGGCTTGAAAACCAATATATAAATAAATAAAAAGTGATGGAATAGAATGAGAATTTTTTTCTCTCACCCTTGAAAACTGGTATGTTGATTCTTCCTTTCTCAGTCAGAAAACCAAACTTATCCTCAGTAACAGGAGTATTCAGAGGGGCTCCTTGTTCTTTCCAATCAGGTATCAACTCCTCTAGAGCAGTGGGTTGTATAACTGCTCCTGACAGTATGTGACCTCCAACTTCTGAAGCTTTTTCAACCAGACATACTCTAAGCTCTCTTCCATCTTTCTCAGCTAATTGTTTGGCTCTGATGGCAGCACTCATGCCAGCAGGGCCCCCTCCTATGATCAGTATGTCTGTTTCGTCGGCAAATCTTTCCATATTCACATCTAAAATTGAAATTCAATTGGAATTCTATCTTCTAGCTTTCAGCACTTTGAACTTGCCTTTCCATCGTGGATCTTGTTCCCTTGGATGAATGGTGTAGTGAGTTGTAATTTTAGGTAATTGCTCAGAATATGATCTTGTTGCTATTTGTATTTGCTTTGCTGCAAAGAAATAGATAAACATGCAAAACTCAGATTCCACTTTTGCTACAAATACTTATAAAAACAGTTGCCTTTCTGGGTCATGTCCGGAAAAAAATAGTCAGCCTACTAGACACTGTCAACTCACCTATTTTTGGTATTTTGGAATTTAGTGCCATTATCAGTTTTTTTGTAATGCTGAATTGTCCTCAAAATAAACTATTCATTGAATATATTATCATGTATGTCAGTACTTTGAGAATATTTTTGTACTTGTACTCTGTACCATTAATTTTTTAAGAGGTGGAATTTCAAATCCAAATTTTCGATAAATATGTTTTGATTCATTGATTGTTTTGAACTTTGAACAGAAAACAATCTGATCTGAATAAACTGATCGAATCTTGATTATGTGAAGGATTCATGCGATCGGCTGATCCTGATCACATTTTCCAAAACCTTAGATCATGGTGGAATTATAACATTGTAATTTTAAACCTTATGGCGAATTCCATTGGCAGGAACTGGTGGAGTGCTTCTGCAATCAATGTATATGTTTCCTTCTTACTCGCATGTGTTAAACAGAAGTAAATATACACCCAGTGGAGAAAGAAACACCTAATCAGTTCTTCTTGCTTTTATTCTATCTTTTTGTTCTCAATAAACACAGTACACAGTACACAGATAGTTTTCCTGGGTTTGTTTGCACATCACAAAGGTCACATCACATATCACATATCGAGAGTATATCCAATATTGAACAAATAAAATGGATTGTTGTTAATAAAAATCGAGAGAAATTGTTTTGAAAGTTCTATCGCCACCCGAAATCTTTTCAACTGTTATTGAACGTCCGGTTACATTTAACATTGATGTATGACATTGCAAAAGTTTTCGATACTTCGGGTGCATTCAACGCAACCGAAAGCAAAAGCCTGGGTTCAATTTTCAAGTTCTCATTATTAATTTATGCAAGCTCCTTCTCATGAAATGATTTTTTCCAACTAAATAGTAATTTAATTCGAGTTTATTATCTTCAGAGGTGCCACAACTTTGGATAAAATTTTAATATCATAAGAGGTATAGGAAAAGAGGATAATATATAATAGGTCAACAAAAATGATAGTAGTAAGGTCTGAATCATAATATATTGAAAAAAAAAAGATTCTGGAATAGAATGAAAAAAATGAACAAACAAAAAAAATATAAACAAAATAATGGCAATAAGTATTATTACCTACCTATATATTGTGGAAAAAAAAAAACAGAAATGATAGATAGGTGGTATATGGGTACCAAAACACTATTATAATTCTTCCTTTTCTTTGTGAATTTGATAATGGATAATGTTCTCAACACCTTCTTTGATTTCCCTAGAAAAAATATTATTCCCCACAATTTTGCATTGCACTATTATTTTCAAAAATAGGTTACCTTTCAAGGGGAGCATACTTATGCTCAACATAATAATCATATATTCCCATTTTGTCCAATAAGTCCAAACCTTTATCAGCAGCCTTATTCCTTGCATCTTGCAAATTCAAACCCTCACCAAAACACAACTTGAAACAAAAAATACCAAAATATGAATTTTTGATTGGGTAATATATCAATCAGTAATATAAGGCAGATGATATTTTTTGTGCAATGAATTTCAGTAAATAATACATAACTATTACTCACATATTCAGGATTGATATGCAAAGAAAGAAGAGTGCCATGTACATTATTATCATTGAGATCATCAAAAGATATTTCAAAATTCAGGAAGTTGCTTATTTCCAGAATTTGGTCCTGCTGTGACTTTTGATTATGTTTCTGCTTGAGTCCCTTTTTGAATTTCTTTGCTGACTTTGAATCTACACCATTCTCATCCTTGGTAAAAACATACATAAAACTTAAACTCAACATAAAATGTTTCCTACTACTGTGCAGAAAAGTCCATATTTCCGCACTGATTTTAGTATTGAAATTAATGATTACATTTTTTTACCTCTTGTAGTGCAGGAAATTCCTATAATGTTCATGGTTTTTTTCCACATGCTAGTAGAAATAATAGTGCACCTAACAGGTGTGTAAAGTGACTTTTCTGCACTTGTTAGGCAAACTACTATTGCAAGGAATTTTTGGGTAAAATATACAGTATGTCTTAACAAGTTGGAACCATAATATGGAGAAATACTTTTTAAATATTAATTTTAGGAAAAAACTTATTCCTTATAAAAATTTCTGCATCTTATAAAATCTAAAATACAATCAACAGATATCAATTTTTTTTCAGTCATATAGGCAGTGTGTCAAAAAATGTGAATTGTATTTAAGTGTTAAGTACTATTATATTTGACACACCACATATATCTGATGATCTGATGCTTGTATTTTAGATTTCAGAAACATGCAAAACTTTTTATGAAATAGTTTTCCATATTATGATTCCCATTTGGTGAGCATCAAGTACCTACTGTATTCTATACACCTACCAAATTGTCAACTTTTGCACTAGGTTGTCCAAATTTTGCAACAGAGTCAATTATATTACCAACAGTCATACTAATCTCATCATATTTTGTCTTGATCATCTTATTTTTTTTATTCTTTCTCTTTCTTTTCTTTTTGTCCTTCATTATGCTGTTCACTTGGACCTCCTGAGAAATTGGCTCCAATTCAGTAATTCTTTCCAACATACTTTCAGCAGCAATTCTTTTGGACTCTTTTTTTGAATGCCCTTCACCAGTTGCCCTCAAATGGCCTAATCTGCACTCTGTCACAAATGTCTTTTTGTGAGCTGGACCAGATTCTTTGATTATTTCAAATTCTACATCCAACTTTCGCAATTGTGCTGATTCATACACCAATGAAACTGGTGACTTGTTTGTCTGTTTTGCCTTCTTACATTTTTCTTCAGAGCCTGAAAATATACTATGATTTTACCCCAAAATTAACCAACAATATACCAACCTTCCTTCAGACAGTGGAAATCAAGGTTATCTTTGTTCTGAATAAAATAATCCAGAGCCTTTGAAGCAGCATCATGTTTGGCATATTGAATGGTGTGTGCTCCTCCATAAAAATCTAAATCTCCTACTTGAACTTTCACATTAAATGGACCTTTCACTTGATCAATATCTTTCCTCATTTTCAAATTTTTCTCATTGTAAATAGATTCATTCAGTTTTTGTGTGTAAGGTCTTTTCAATTTCTCATTAACAACTACATTGGATTTCAGAATACCCTAAAAAGAGGGTAATACAACATTTACAATTTCCATTATTGATAAATAAGGTTAAACCAATAAAGAAATACAGGGTGTCATTAGAATATATGATTATTAATGTGGATAGGGCTATATTATTACCTGTTTTAGTTTATCAAGAACTTCATATTTAACAGGTAGGCCCAATTTGGCACCTAAATTATTTAGTAGTACAGTTGGTGTTTGGGATTCAATGTTTTCTTCAGAGACTTCTTTCAAAGGAGCAGTTTCATATTGGCTTTCAGCAAGTGCCTTAGCTGCTACAGTTTGTTTAGCTTTTTTGAGGCTCTTGCCTTCACTTACAAATGTTTCTTCTCCTAGTGTTAGTGAAACAGTAAATGTTCTGTCATGAGGTGGCCCCTATAAATGGAAAAATAAAATTGATACAAATATGTAAACACATATGCATAATAACAATCTCTATATGGAATGTAATGTTTCCTATAGTTGTTGCTGATGATATTAGAATAGGTCGGAATAGGCACTAGATTATATTTTGGAAATGTATACTCACATCCTCTTTTTCCAGTTTGAAATAATATTCTAACTCATTGAACTGAGCTAATTCATTTAACTCTGCTAATGAAGATTTTTCGGCATTTTTGGTTATTCCCAGAGATGTTATGTTAAAAATAGTTGCTGTACTGGACTGTTTGACTGCATGAGAATCGCCACCATGGAGGTATAATGATGATAGTGAACCTAATAATGAAGTCAATATTGGCCATAAAATGGATCTCGAATAGATAAATATCCACTTTAAAAAGATTATTGAGATATAATTATTTGTTCTCACCTTCAATACAGTTCTTCCTACCAAACATTTCTCTCATTTCGGAAATAGAGTGGGCACTACATTCCAGGTAGAAATGTGTAAGAACTAAGTAATAAAAAAACTTACTAAAATAAATCATTTTTCTCATAAGAATTAAATGATTGAGGAAAATTAAAAACACCGGCACAACACCTTGATCGCAGCACCAAGACCATCCCAAATCATGTCCCAAATCCCCAAATAACAAAACCGGGGATTTTGGTGCAAACTTCATGTTCTTCTACATTTTTTAGCCTCTTCTCATAGGACTCATAGGACGATGGGTTTATGAAACTTATCATATTTATCAAGAAAGACCCAACAACAAAAGACCAGACGAAGAAGAATTTGTCTTCTTTTGATTTGTGATTTTGATATGTCAATGAATGGTTGTCAATGGTCTGAAATGGTCAATGTGTCATGTCGGAAGATTGTCAATCATGTTTTTTATATAATTTTTTTTATCACCTTTTAAAAGGTAGTTTATCAATCCGAAACATTTATTTTTGCATTAAATTTATAATTCAGTGAAAGTAAGATAACTTGTTTTTTTGGCTTGAAGAAATTGATTTTCAATTTTGAGGTTAGGTTTTTTCAACGTGACAAATTCAACAAAAATACCTAGTCAAAATGCACCGAGTACCTATTTTCTCACTCAGGTACCTCATTAACAGAGAGGTAAGTCCTTCCAACCGTCTCTGGCCTCTGCTGAACCGAGTTTTTCAGGTACGTACATACTCACAAGCACCTCAGAAACGTAGCTCATTCTTATCAAGACTGTATGACAACTTTCGGGAAGAAATGGCCAAAAACAAGGAAATGAAAGAATCCCTGAAGAAATTTCGAGAAGAAGCCGAAAAACTAGAACAAAGTGATGCCCTGAAGGCAGCCAGACAAAAATTTGAGTCAGTTGAAAGAGAAGCTAGTAAAGGTAGTGAAGTCTTCAAAGACAGTTTGGGCACTATTAAAGACAAAGTGAAGGGTGTTATTGATGATGCTAGTAAGTCTGACATTGCCAGAAAAGCTGGAAAATTCACAGAGGAGGTAGGAAAACAAACACATAGGATAAGTGAGAAAGCTCAAGAAATTAGCAAAACAGGAGCTTTCCAAAGTATCTCACATGCTACTAAAGTTGTCAAACAGGAAATAGATAACACTAGTATGGAAGGTAACAAGTACAATCATTGTGATATTTTGGATATTTGATTGATTTTTTTTAGGAAAGGTTTATGTTAGTCCAACAACTTTAAGAAAAAGAACTGAAACCAGTGCAGTGGTGCATCAAAAATATTATGAACCCAATACAGATGCTATGGGGGTAGAATTGCACAAGGACTCAAAATTTTATGAATCCTGGCAAAACTTCAAAGATAACAATGCCTATGTTCACAAAGTCATGGACTGGAAGCTAAAATATGATGAGAGTGAGAACCCTGTCATTCGTGCTTCTAGGGCATTAACAGAAAAAGTAGGTGACATAATGGGTGGTTTATTCCAAAAAACTGAATTGTCTGAGACCCTCACTGAAATTTGTAAAATAGACACCACATTTGATGCCAAAAGATTTTTGAAACAATGTGAAACTGACATCATACCAAATATTCTAGAAGCAATGACCCGTGGGGATCTAGAAATCCTCAAAGACTGGTGCCATGAAGGCCCCTACAATCTATTTGCCATTCCCATACAAGAAGCCTACAAAAAAGGCTACAAAATTGAGTCTAAAATCCTGGATGTAGATAATGTTGACTTACTCATGGGCAAAGTAATGGACCAAGGTCCAGTTTTGATCATCTCCTTTACTTCCCAGCAAGTAATGGCTGTCAAAAATTCTACAGGGGAAGTTGTGGAAGGAGACCTGGACAAAATCATGAGGGTCAACTACGTTTGGGTACTGTGTAGGGATCCTTCTGAGCCTGACCCTAGGGCTGCTTGGAGGCTACTGGATATTTCAGCCAGCAGTAATGAACAGCTTGTGTAATTGACTAAGGAGAAAGTTGAAATTATGGTGGAACATGTGGATTGGTTCACCTTGTTGTTACTAGTTGAAAAGGTGGACCAAGATTGATGATGAAGTGATGACTTGGATTGTATGCAGAAGATATACCAAAGGAGTTTTTTCTTCTCTATTGATAAATCAATATCTGGAAATTCACTGATATTGTTGTTATCATCAGGAAAGAAGCTCTCATCATCTGAATGACAAGTACTAAAATTGGTTTTGAAGTATGCATTATTTGGCATAAGATCCTGTATTTTTGTATAGAAAAATATCTGAGAATGTTGAATCTATGTTGAACTATGTAAGATTCATCTTTACTCAAGTTGTACAAATTTTTTGTATGAAAATTAATTTATATATTTTTTTCCAATAAATTGTTGGTTTCTTGGGGTCTCCATAAATGAAGAAAATAAATCAATGGACAATATTTTAGGGTTATCCAAAGCCATCATTAGTAAAACTCAATAAATATTAAAGATGCTACATCTTTAACTGGCATACTGATTTTTAACACTCTTCAAGAATGGAGAATTGAGAATTATATTTTTCTGGTGTGATTTTCAGTCAAGTGAAAAAAAAAACAATACAAAATAAAGTAATAGTTTTAATATATAACTCAAAGTGCTCTATAACTCTTACAAATAGGTCCAGTTTCATTCACACTTTTCAAGAAATAAAAAAAAAACATGAAACAACTTAACAAGTATTCTACAATTCTTAATTTTGATTTCCTAATCTTCAAAATCTATAAAATATCTTTGAGACCAACATATTCAATTTCTTGATCTGAATCTTCATCAATGAAAATTATTTTGTCCTGACTAGTATTATCCTCTTCATCTGAGCTAATAGTCAAGAGAATGGGACTGTCTATCCTTATTGTCTTGACAACTTCTCTGGTGGTGGTAACATTTTCATCATTGTCATTTGACTGAATTTCGTCAATGACAGTTAAACCTTCAGTTATTGGAAATGTTTCTTCCTCTTCAACTTCCTCATCAGTTTTATTTGATTCTTCATCAGAACTGTCAACTAGGACTAATGGTATTTTTTTAGGTATGAAGATAGGTTCTTCACTGCTCTCTTGAAATTGTGCTGGTTCATTTTTATTTATGAATGCTTTCTCATTGTCTGAATCATTATTTTCCTCAAGAGATTTTTGAATACTGGTTGGTGGCTAAAAAATCAGTCAATTATTATCATTGCCTCAAGTTGAAAACATTTTCCAGTCAACCAGAACATTATTCATTCAAACATGAGTTTGCATTTTTTGAAAAAAAAAAATTAGTAGTATGTACAAGTATCCAGACAAGTATATACTGTGGTACAAGAATGTTGATATAATAACAAATATGAACTTTTATGAACAGCTAACTATACCCATAATGAATGACTCACAAAAATGCAAACAAAATGTGAATATATTTTACAAAATTAATAAAATGATTACTTGCATAATATGGGGACGTCCGGAATTTTTAACAATGTCATCAGGATCACTCACTGAAAATTTTCATTATTTAGCAAAGATAACTGGCAAAGATTCCTTAAAATATAAAAAATACTATGAATATATTTTTATGATGACAAAGGATCGCAAATTTTGACAAGATGGATTTGTGGTTTGTCATGGTGTTGATTGAGGATGGTTTTAAGGATAACTTCAGCCAAAAGTCAGGAACCATCGTTAAAAATGATTTTAACATATATAAAGAGTTTCTCTGATCTCTGAATTATTCATATTTGAGAAAATCAATCTTATAATACCAAGAGACTTACATGTCTTCTATTTTTGTTCAGCCTTTTTCTTTTGAGTTTTTTATTCTCAGATCTATTTTCACCTTCAAATCTTTTAAGATTCGAATTTACACCTAGAGACATCCTCACCAAGTTGACAGTGAGATATTTATCAGTGTTAAGTTTTTCTGCAATTGAAATCTCACCAAGTTGTCTTCTGAATTGTTTTGGTTCCTGTAAAATGTTTTGTTCCTAATACAATTCAGGTTCTCTGAAGCTAGCACAACTGAAAATTACTGACCTTGGGTTGGTGGACCTGGGCTTCTTTTGTTCCTAATGTTTCATGAGGTATTCTTTTTTCGGCTGTTCTAGGATCACTTGCTACATTTTTCAAGAGCACAATCAATTTTTTACTGTAATCAGCTGCAAGTTTTTTACTTTCACTGTCTTGCTCCATATCTTCTGCAGACTGAAAAAATATTGGATTAATATTGAATATTATAAGGCATATATACATACTGTATCTGAAGTGGTAGTTTTCAATTCAGTAGAATCAACATGTTGTCTTTCATCGGGCATTTTTTTACTCTCATTAGTAGTTTCATCAACAATTTTCTTGTTTATCTTACTTGATGAATTTAAATTATCCATTAACTGTTCATTTACAGTATTGGTACTGGTTTCAGTGATTTTCTCAATAACTTTTGTAGTATCGTCTATCTCAACGTCATTAGTAATGGGTATGTCCATAGCTGCAGCTAAAATTGGTTCTGGATTAGATATTCCAGCCAACTGTACAATTTTTTCAATAGCATAAGTTGATTCATCAGCAGATTTCTTTCTGCTACTTCTACTTGTTACTACTTCATCTAATTGATCTTTGGTTGCTTCCTCATCCAATGACTTTTCATCTTTCATATCTTCTGTCTTCTTGTCTTCTTCATTTGAGGATTGGGCGAGACTATTTTCAGTTACATTGTCTTCGTCATTATCACATGGTTGAACTTCTGATGTCGTTTCTCGAATTATTTCATCAGTATCTGTTGGTTTTGGAGTAATATTCGCTTCAATCGCTTGGTTTGGACATCTGAATGCATAAGTTGATTCATCAGCAGATTTCTTTCTGCTACTTCTACTTGTTACTACTTCACCTAATTGATCTTTGGTTGCTTCCTTATCCAATGACTTTTCTTCTTTCATATCTTCTGTCTTCTTATCTTCTTCATTTGAGACTTGGGCCAGAATATTTTCAGTTACATTGTCTTCGTTATTATCACATGGTTGAACTTCTGATGTCGTTTCTCGAATTATTTCATCAGTATCTGTTGGTTTTGGAATAATATTCGCTTCAATCGCTTGTTTTGGACATCTGAATAAATCATCTTCCATATCAGGTTTATCCACATCGGCTGATTTAATCGATTCAAGAGATATATTTTCCTTTGGAAATTCATCAGTATCGGTTACTGTGGCAATATTTTCTCTACTTGGAGTTTCGAGGTTTTCTGTTTTGTCCATTATGATCGCTACTGGACCATGACTTTTTGAAGTATTCACTGTTTTACTGCTTTCATCTGTATTATCAACACCATCATGACTTTTTGTAATACTTGGAGTATCTTCAATGGATGTTTCCTCTTTCCCAGTGCTTTTTGTAGTAACTTTGATTGGGTCGTCAGTTTTCTGCCCTTGATCTTCTCTAATTTCTGAAGTTTGAACAACTTCAATACTACTTTGTCCAATGGAAGATGTAACTACATTATGTTCTTCAATTGAAACTTCATCGGGAGTAGTTTCAGATGAGTCTGTGACTTTCTCAGATACAGAAAGAGCATTTTTGCTATCAATTTCTTTAATGCCTGGTGCTTCTACAGGAACTTTCTGCTGATCACTCTCTTGAATCTTTGTCTTTGTTGTAGTTTCCTCTTCAGTGGGCTTGTTTTCTATAGATATTGTTACTTTTTTAGAATCTGTTTTGCCATGTTCATCTTTGTCTGTTGATGAAATAAGCTCCTTTGTATTTGGTGGCTTATTTCCCACTGGAATATTTTCTGCCATTATTTTTGTATCAACTTCTGTATCCTTAGAAATTTCATTAAGTTCCGGAATCTCTACAATATTATTGGATTGAGACTTTTCTATATCAGTTGGTGTGACTGTAACAACAACGTCTTGTTTGATGCATTCATTTCGTGAGCCATCGATTTTTCTGTTTGCGTTAGTCTCTTCAACTGTAGTTTCAGTAGATGCATTTTTTTCCTTTTCAGGTAACTCATCTTTAGATTTAGGAATCTCTACCATGATATTACTAGTCTCTGTATTAGGATTGTCAGCTGAAACTGTCATTGTTTCAGGTTGATTGGTTGGCTTAACCCAATTTTCTTCATGTTTAACTTCTTCAGTTTTTTGTAATTTTTCAAGTTTCACACGTTTGTTGGTTGAAGGTATCGAAATTTCAAGTTCAGTGGATTCTTTTTCAGTAGAATCATCAGAATTTGGTATTTTTATCATTGATTTTTCATCAACTTTGGGAATTCCATCAGATTTTGGTTTCAGGAATGTGGAACTAGTCTCTGCATTGGAATTGTCAGCCAAATCTGTTTTTATTATAGGAACTTTGAGAGACTCATTTTGATTTGTTGGCTTCATCACTTTTTGCTCATGCTTTATAGATTCTTTTTCAGTGAGTTCGATTGTTTCAGACTTCAAAGTCACATTGTCAGTTGACTGTAACAAATTTTCACATGTACTTTTGACAGAAACATTCTCTAGCTTCAACTCTTCTTTAATAATCGACATTTCTGACAGTTTATGCTTATCTAATTGTACCATGGATTTTTTCTCAGTGACTATATTAGTCTCTTCTACTACCCTCTTAGATGATATATCTCCTGACTTTGCATTAGATTCATCAGAATGTGGTTTTCCTAGCATTATTTTTCCTTCAACCTTAGGAACATCTTCAGATTTTGGCGTCAAAATGCTAGAACAAGTCTCTGCATCTGAATTATCAACTAAATGAGTTTTTGTCATAAGAACATCTAGAGGTTTGGATTCATTTTGATTGGTTGGCTTCATTAAACTGTCTTCATGTTTCACTGATTCTTTTTCCATAGGTTTGATTTTTGCAACACTTTCATTTGGTGACTTTATCTCTTTTTCAGATGTATTTTCTACAGGAATACTGTCAAGTTTCAATTCCGTTTCTACAAGTAGAATTTCTGTCGGTTTGAGCTCATCTTGATTCGGTGGCTTAATCACATCTGCTTCAATTATGTGTTTGGTAGAGTCTTTTACAGTTACCCCGATTTTTTCTATGTTCACATTAGTTTCTCCTATCGCCGTCTTAGGAGCAATGTCATTTCCTTTTTCATTAGATTCATCATTAGATCGATTTGAATTGTCAACAGAACTTTTTCCTTGATCTAATTTTTCACCAACATCGGAAGTTCCTTCAGATTTTGCAGATACACAATCTTCTATTTTATTAGAATTATCAGAAGGTGGAACAACATCAACTTCTCCTTTGTTAGCAGGAGATTCTTCAGGCCTTTCAATATCTTTGACAGTTATTTCATCGGAATTCTCGTCAACTGATTTTATTGGAGTGTTTTCTTCAGCAGTCACTTTTTCTTGAACAGAAGCATCTTCCTTGGTAGAACAGACTTCATTAGCGATATCATCCTTTGAAGTATCTTTTGGATTAGTAGAGCTACGTAGTTTCTCGAGTTCCTTTATCTTCTCGAATCCCCGTTGAATTTCCTGAAAATAATGATGAAAAGTCTTCTTGCTAGATTGCCGAATCGGTCATTTTAAAGAGACTATCGCTTAATAACGTTTCGATTAGGCAACAAAATTTAAATAACGACTATTTTTCCTTTCCTACACAATGACTTACAAAATCCAATTGACGTTTTCGCTCCAACAGAGCAAGAGCTAACATTGCTGTTTCATCTGAAAAATAAATTAAGTAATGATTGTTGATATCTATAAATTAATAATACAAAAATTGCAACAATCTACTATAGAGCTTTTCTACACCGATCATGTTTCTAGCTCATCACAAACTTTTGTAGTACAAATGATCAACAGTTGAATAAGAGTCACATAGACAAATTGAGAATTGCATTTTTTTCACTTTATCTCGATTATCTAGATAACTACAGATTCAGGTTTCAAGGTACAAACTGAAATGGGTGTTTTTGATCTGAAAAGTGTGTACAAATATGTGTCCGATCTCGATCAGTAGCGGAGATACAGAGGGTCAGAGTTCAATTATTTTTTTCTATTAATTGAAATACCTCGCTCACTTCTGAAGATAACAATCTGAAATTTGGTTTGTCAATACTTTCTAGAAGATCATCATATGAAGCATTTCAAAGATTTTCATAATCCACAGGGTGATACGTTCTTGAGGGTAGAGGCTTCTTTATTCCCCCAAACTTTTTCGTCCCCCTAAACTTTTTCGTAGTACGCCTCGATTTTAATATATGAAAAAAATTGGAATTGGATCGATCGAATTGGATCTGAAAATGTGTCGTTTCTCAAGTTGTTTCTGAGATAATTTCCCCTTCAAGTTGAATTTTGCTCTCATTTTCACTTATGAGTCTATTGTGACAAGATTTCTTAGAAATATACAGATATGATAAAAAGAAATATGCTTTTTTCAAAGCATTCATTCAATAACAATAACATTAACTTAACGAACAATACTGATTCAAAACACCAATAATAATTTCAATGACGTGTGTGACTTCCACGCGCTCCTATTACAGCAGTCATCCGTCTGCTGATGCTTTTGATGACATTATCGATTATTTTTTGAGGAAGATTATCCCAAATCTCAACCAGAGTTGCAGCTACTTGCTCGGGATTTTGTACAGCGGGAATTCCGGACCTTAATCGTCTACCCAACATGTCCCATACATGTTCGATTGGATTAAGGTCTGGCGAACATGTAGGCCAATCCATTGCTCTTATTCCGACTGTGTTTAAAAAGTTGGAGACTGAACGAGCCACGTGAGGGCGGGCATTATCGTGCATTAACAAGAAGTTTTCTCCGATATGGGGGGCGAATGGTATGACATGCTGTTGAAGAACATCTCGTATATAGCCATCTGCATTTAAAGCGCCATTAACCACTACCAACTCTGTTCGTGCCCCTAAACAAATTCCACCCAAACCATGACTGAGCCTCCGCCATAGGAGACAGTAGCAGTAAAATTAAATTGTTCATTTTGTTCACCTCGGCGGCGATAAAGTCTTTCCCTGCCATCTATTGAATTGATGCAGAAGCGGCTATCATCTGTAAAAAGGACGTTGGCCCACTGGTCATTTTCTCAATTTATATGCTGCCTAGCGAAGCCGAGTCTTGCCACCCGATGACGTCGCTGCAGTTGTGGAGCTTTCTTCGTTCTATAGGCACTCAGGCCAACTTCTTCGAGCCATCTGCTGATAGTCAGATGACTTATTCTTCTTCCACGTACTTCTTCCAGTTCGTTTCTCAATTGGGGTACGGTTGTACGTCTGTTTCGTAGTGTTTGGGGGAGACTAAAAATCGGTTATCTCTAGCCGTGGTTGACCGTTTTCTTTCTTGGCCTCGTCTCCTCACGTACTGTCCTGTTTGTCTCCAACCTCTCACATTCCGATAAATCGAAGATTTAGATTTTTCCAGCATGTCAGTAACATCAGTGCACGATCTATCATTTTCAATTAATGCTACAGCCCACGCCACATCAGTAGGATTCAAATCTCCCATGTTGAATTTTCATCAATCAAATTTATGAATTTTGAATTGTTATTCGCTTGACTCTATGACAATAATTAATGACATAAACAAAATATCCAACGTTGATAAAGAAAATAGCATTTCACCAAAAGAGAATTGAAGCAACTTTTATCACCCCTGCATATTCATAGGAGTATTCGTTAGGTAAAACCGTGAACAATTTTCATCATGAAGTAAAAATCCTCACATAATTGAGTTGAAAAACGACATATTCTTACCCCCAGTGCGAGTTTCGAGGTGGTAAAATTAATACCAATATCCACATTTTCTTTGAAACTCTGTATTTACTTGAATAATTGGGATATCAAAATGAATAAAAACGAGAATATTCGGAATAGATTAGGCTACAATTTGATGTTGAGAAATCGTTTCAATTATCAATGGTTCACTCCACGGGATGTCTTAAAAAATCCGTACTTTCTTTACACCCCTGTATATGATACAAAGACGAATCGTTTGAAGATGGTTATTTTTCAGATGTATTCGTGAAGAATAAAGCTACAATTCGTGGAAAAAAAAGTAAATCGAGCATTGATAAACGCGGTTAATAAAATAATACTATATTTTCTAACGCATATATGACAAGTATCATTACCGTCACCAGTATCTACTGTATCAGGAGTCCCACTATTGAAAGATACTGGCGGACCACTACCTGGAGCATTTTTCGCCGTTGATATTTTCACAACTGCGCCTGAAGCTGATCTTTCAATTATAAGTGACCCAGACTGAAAAATATCATATGAAATTAATTGGTTGATTAATAAGTATAGAATTTCGTTCTTACTCCTGTCGTTTCAGGTTGAGGTCCCTTATCCCACTTAGATTTGAAACCTAAAATATCGCAAATCAGTATGAATAATATCTGGAGTTATATTTTTGAATGTAAACTCAGATGACAAATGTATTAGGAATTCCCAGTTTCGAGTTGACTACTAAAATTTATTTTTTCTGTGACCGGAAAAAAGTTTGAAATTCCATCTCTGTTGACAGGTTATAAATTGTCACTTTTCATAAATTATTGCAAGTTCTTATCCTCCATTCGACCTGACGGTTACGTAAATTACTAAACAACCACCAAATTCACAATTTTTGAAAACCAAATCACAAAATTACACTGACAGATATCTGATTGCCTCAAAAGAATGATGAAGATGCCTGCAACGCAGGTGTCACTCCTGTTAAAAACTTCAAATTTCATGTAGATAATTTTCAGATTTTAATATAATGTGTTATCATTTCAATATTGATTCGTCTTTTTTTTGCCACAGAAATAAATAGGTTATTATACACGAGAAATATATGAGATTTTAGCTCACGACCTGGAGCTGGAATCAATTACATTTTCCCTTGTGTAAATAATTAGATATTTATTATTTAAAAAACCGTGAGCTAAAATCTAATATTTTTCTAGTGTATAATATACTATTTTTTTCGGTGACAGAAGAAAAGGACGAATCAATGCTGAGAAGATATTAGATTATTTTGAAATCTGAAAATTATCGACGTGAAATTTCAAGTTTTTAACAGTAGTGACACCTGCGTTCAAATATCTTATGTCGCTTCTGTCAGTCTAATTCTGTGATTTGATTCCAAAAAATTGCTAGTTTAGTGGTTGTTTAGTAATATACGTAACCACGAAGTCGAATGGAAGTTAAAAAGACTTGCAGTTCTTTCTCGGAGACGGTAATATTGACTCATTTTTCGGAACTATAGCACAACAAAAGCCATCAACAGTGTATATATATATATATGTGATATATGTCCGGGAAAAAAGTAATTCATGAAAAGTGATATTTTATAACCTGCCAACAGAGATGAAATGCCAAACTCTTTTCCCGTCACGGAAAAATAACTATTTATTGTGCATAGCTATCCTCTCAATTCACGAATATGACCTGCAACCGAATATTTTTTCCGATGATTTCAATTCACAACTTTCAGAATTTCAAGTTTATACGAGATATGAAATGGGATATGAATCTGTGCATTACCTTGATTTGAATCTTTAGTCATTTTTGCACCTCCTTTTTTATTCTTATTATCCACTATTACTTTTCCTGTATTCTTCTTGCTAGCAGCTTCATTAGCTGCTTGTTCTTGCCTAGTTTCTTGAATGTCGGATATTTTGCCTAGAACTTGAAATATCGGATGGTTAATTGAATAACGTATGGTATTCACTACTAAAATCTGAACATGAAAATGGTAAATTCAAGATCAATCAATGAAAACATCCTGTAACTCCTTTGATTGCCAACGTCACCAATTGTCATTGAAAACTGAAAAGCTTCAAGACATATAATACGACTTCGCAATTGAAAAAAAATCTCTTCATGTTGAAAACGGGAGCAGAATCGGTCCCGAAACGTCCAAAGATAAGTGAAAATTTGATATTTTTTCTATATACCTTTATTTCTCTTCTCCAAAAATTTTTCAATACAAATTGTCACTGACAAGCTAGTGAATTTTTCTTTTAGGCTCTCTGATAGGAAAATTCTTTAAACGCAGTGACATTTTGGGGCAAATCATCTGATTTGTCCTTACTACACGTATATTGAAATAATATTCATATTTTTATTTTATAGAAACGAGGAGAGAAAATACCAAAAAATTTGGAATAATTGATCCATTGGGTTGACATTTTTAATACGTAAAACAAAACAAATTACAAAAGATACTGAGAGAAGTAAAATAGGTACTGTAGATACGCGTATAGCTCAGAACAACTGCAACAAATGCCTAATTTTTTTTTAATTGGTACACCAACCGTGCGAAGTTGGGCCGGACAACTTAAACAATATAAAATGAATGGATGGTGTTTTACAAGATTTACATTTTTTTTTACCTTCTTTAATTTTCGCAATTTTGGAAGCAATGGTCACTCTTGGAGAACTAATATTGGAAGTCACCACGATCTTACTGCTAACAGTGCTTTCATTCCTTTTCTCAGACCCAGGACTCTTTCTTTTTGCATCCTGTGAACGATTTCTTGGTGTACTACCAACCGTCGTCACCTTACTCTTAACTCCAGAGACTTCATTCGCATTCTCAGGTTCAGCAGGACTTATAATTGTAGCCGCTTTGCTATCATTCCTTCTAGATTTAGCATTCCTGCTACGAGACCTGCTACGCCTCGACTTGTCAATGCTACGAGAACGGCTACGTTTTGACCTATCTCTGCTACGAGAACGACTACGTTTAGACACGTTCCTGCCACGAGAGTTGCTGCGCTTTCGCCTATCTTTGCTACAAGAATTGCCGCGCTTGGACCTGTCTTTGCTACGCGAGCGGCTACGTCTGTTTCTGCTGAGAGAACTGCTACGCTTCGAAGTGTCTCTGCTACGAGAATTGCTGCGCTTTTTGCTACGTGAACGGCTACGTCTGTTCCTGTTGCGAGAATTGCTGCGCTTCGACCTATCTCTGCTACAAGAATTGCCGCGCTTTGACCTGTCTTTGCTACGTGAGCGACTACGTCTGTTTCTGCTGCGAGAATTGCTACGCTTCGACCTATCTCTGCTACGAGAATTGCTGCGCTTTGACCTGTCTTTGCTACGCGAGCGGCTACGTCTGAACCTGTTGCGAGAATTGCTGCGCTTGGTCCTATCTCTGCTAAGAGAATTGCTGCGCTTTGACCTGTCTTTGCTTCGTGAGCGGCTACGTCTATTTCTGCTGTGTGATCTACTACGTCTATATCGGTCACGTGATCGGCTACGCCTGTTTCTACTACGTGAGCGGCTACGACTTTTGCTTCGACTGAAACGTCTGCCTTCTTCCCATCGACTTTCCTGAAATTCAGGATTAGTGATGAATATGGAAAAAGAGGGTATTTTGTTATAAAGCGGATATGCTACAACCTGAATCTGGATTCAAATCCCCTTTCTCAAATTCTGGACGCCCTTTTTTTTATATACACAATGGGTTCATGGTTTAACACTCTTACTACCATGTCAGTCAATTTTGACCGACAGCTTGATCTCGTGCTGAGTCGATGCATTTTCATTGGTTCGAACACGTCAAAGCCGTTCTGGTGTACAGAAGAGCATAAAAGGATGTATATTTCAATGTATATAAGTAAGAGTGCATGATATACTCTTATTAGTTATTAATTTATCGATAAACTCACAGAGGTTGGAACATTTGCTACAACAGCAAAAGAAAGAAACACCGAAAGCTAGAAAAATTGTTTAATTTGTTAGAAAAATCTCGTGAAATAATATGTACAAGAAAGGGGGCTAAAAATGAGGTGAAGAGAGTGCGGACGCATTGAGAAGGCTGCCAAGAGATGCCTTCTATGTGCATTGAATGTCGTGTGGAAACCCCTTCCAACAATAATTAGATTCAGGTATGTTCATGATTTTTTTCACATTTTATACAATAAACGTTTTTGAGGCATTATTGTAGCTATAAATTTCATAGTCAGCGCCACAAAAAATTCACATACGTTCATTTGAGCGCCGCGAATTTAGATCTGATGGAGATATGAATGTATCTTCTGTCGTTTTCGCATGACACGGTTCAGACTGAAACTTCTGCTGTCGGTTAAAAATCACTGGCAAGCACAGTTTTTTATAGGTCACCGTCGGTCACATATGACTGACAAAGCCTGTGATAGAGAAAAACAGGGTCCCGGCAGCCAGAGTGTTAATTGTTCCCCATAATGGTACAACCAATTAATTCATAATTTGCACTTTTACTTCACACATCTTCACTATAGTGATAGTCGAAAAAATCATGAATAGTTGAGATGAAGAAATGTAGACCTGGACTTCGAAAAATATCTTCGAGATTTAAGACAGAAAAAGAAAACGGATTATTCTTGAAACTCTGTTTTATTCGAATAAAAATTAAGAAAAGGGATAAATCATTATTTCTTTTGCCACACTTGCATGATATCGAATATCCAAGTCTTCAAAAATAATCTTGAAAACAAATGTACAGTTTCATTGTGAATAATTGATATTCAAGTACAACATATTCACCCTAGTCACTGAAAAAACACTATCTGACGAATTTAGATTTTAATTCCTAGTTCAGATTGCAGTATATGTCTGTTTTATAACGAAAGTATAGTATAGAGACAATGTTGTATCTTACCAATTTTCCTGTCAAATATCTACCAGATTCCTTATCAGTCTTATTTTTCTCTCCGATTTCAATGTGTCCTGGTATACCTAGAGGAAGAATATAAAATTGTTTGGCATATTACTTTCGCAGAGGTCTTTCAATCCGTTCTTAAAATACTAATGATAGTGTCATCGTAGTTTCAGATGATTTGAATAGAATTTTGTTGTGATATGAATGCCTTATTGAAATATTGATACATATATCATTTCCTCATCACATCCGGGTAGTTTTTATCAAGGATAGTTATAATGAAACATGTTTTGGTTATAATTGATTTCTTTATTTAAAATCAGCACAAAATGCGGGAGTTACATAGGGATACATTTTGAAATTACAGATTGTTTATCTTATCAAATCATTACATATAGGAGTATCGAAAGAAAGGATAGCATAGCGGTTGATTTTCACTGTCGTGGCAAGACGATAGCTAAATCAGTCTCTCTTGCTATGTTGCCATTTACATGCCCTATGGGTAACGATTGGGTAAACAATCTGTATAATTGACTCCCAACTTATCATTCTAGTTGACATTATTTTGAAACTGTCCATATCCCATTTTTCTGAATATGAAACAATAACAGGCATCAGAGACGATGCTTTCTTGTGTATATCTGAGAACCAAGACGTAGGATGGACAAAGTATTACATTATCAGAACTACGAATACAATAAATAGTTACTATATATTCACTGTATAACTTCTTAACAGAAAAACAATATATTCATTCAGAAACTTATTTTAATTTAACGAAATATTCAACACTCATGAAATTGCAGTTTCCTTTTCTTGTTGCCAGCTGATTTTCAGACGTTCCAGGCTATGGGCCACATTCTCAGCACATTTGAATTCTTCCTGTAAGTTTTCTACCCACAAAAAATCCCTCGAATCCGGTGTAAATTTGGGGATACATTTTTCATTATTTTCTATTTGCTTGCTCTTCTAGGGTGAAATGAAAGATGATTTGTATTCAATAATATTTATTAACGGAAAACTTGCGAAAGGACACAACCAGTTGGAAACAAGATCATTGCACCTATTATCACATTTTTTGACAAAAATAATTGTTAGTCTGCACCAATTTCTATGACCTCTCTTGAACCATCTTCATTCAAGTTTTCATCTTGAGATTGCAAACCATCTTTTTCTGGTCCTGATTTTCCTACATCATCATTTGCGTTTTGTTCCGTCGATTTCTTGTTAGCCATAGCTCTCAAAAATTCACGTCTTATTATTCGTTGACGTCTCTACGAAATCAAATGAAAACATCAGAATGGGACAACAATTTCAGAACAATTTTAAGAAGAAAATTATCTGTGAACATTGGTTGTGTCGTTATCGAGATACAGGGCGTTAAAATTGAAAGAAATTATAGATTTTTCTTTTTAATTACTTACTAGAAAACTGCCAAACAAAAATACGTGATATTTTGATGATATATTAAGTATCTGTGAGCATTATGTATTGAACAGGTATAAATGAAAGATTTTCAAATTTCATTATAAAATATGGCAGAATGTTTAGTTTTATGGAAAAATGTCCTCTTGTTAGAACTCGATAGAACTCGAATGAAAACAAAAAATTCAAATTTGACCAAAAATTTTGGTATAGGTGACAAATAGTTGATTACTGGATAAGGATGGAGTCATGGTATTAGTTAGTTAATAGTTCGGACACAGAAATAACAACTGTTAGTGTTTTTGTATGTTTAGATTCATTAAGTTACACACCTTGCATTGTGACAAGCACACCATAGTCGTCCCGCGCGTTTCCATTCAAAATTGTCTGAATTTGACAATACATTTCAGAAATGTCAGTATTGAAATATAATTTCATGAATTATTGAAAAAAAAATGGAAATGCCCTGCTGTGTAATGAATTTTAGGAATTCTGAACAGAATGGATTTTATTCATTTAATTTTTCGAAGGAAATATCAACCATTCTCATATCAAAACTAATTTGAAAACAAGCAGAATTCGTGAGATACATACATTAAAATTCACTTCTAATAACAGCAGATAAGAATGAAACTATATTTCAGGCCCATTTTTGAACAAAGGATTTTAAGATCTGTTAGAGAGAATCTGCTGTTCTATAATCCATTTACAATACAGTCTATTTAAAAATATATTATTATCATCACACGAAATGCAAAACAAAATTATCATGTAGGAAGAGGAATTGATTGCAAAAATTCTTAATCAAATCTAGTTTTATCATAACAATAAGTCGTATAATTATGTAATTTCAATGCCCCCTATCTCGAAAACAATGCTTCTTATGACTAATACTCATAGGAAATGTTATTCTTGAAATGATATCTTCTATTGATTGCCAAAGTTTTGCTAGTATAAAGTGGACCATTCTGTATAAAAAACTATGAACGTAAGACATCTCAAGAGTCGATTTTCTTCTATATTGTGCCACCTACATTCTGGCTACACCTTTGTTCTAAAAGTTTTTTTTTCAGTTTTTGCATCGATTTCTTTTGTTTTTTAATACGTTTCAAAACTTAGTACAGAGTAATTACAACTTACAGAGGGATTCTTTCTTCCACGTTTTTTGAACCCAATAACGACATCTGAAAAATATAGAATAAGTTTTGCAAATGTTATATTTTTGAATAGTATATTGAAATGACTTGAAATTTGGGATTTTCTCTTCTCGTTTCTATATATATGTGTAGTATGACAGCTTTCAGTATGTCAATGAACATAAAAATGCAAAATATGTTTTTTCAAAAATTCTGTTCTTATAGTTTGACACTTTTCAGTTTGCATTTTTATGTTGAGAGCGGGAGCAGATTCGTTCCCGAAACGTAAAAATTCGATATTTTTTCAATATATCTATATTTCTTCTCTTCAAACATTCTCCCAAACAAAGTGTCACTGACAAGCTTTTAAAATTTTTTCAGGCTCCCTGATAAAAAAATTTAATAAACGCAATGACATTTTGGGGGAAATCATCTGATTTGTCCTACTACACATACAGTGTGACCCACTTCTAATGGAAACACTCCTGTATCTTACGTATTCGTTGGGTAAGGATCCTGAAATTTGCTGGAGTGAGAGATACACCAAAAATGCACTCTATGACCAAGTGGGGTCATCTACAGTGATATACACTGCTCGCCAACAGCCATGGAACCACCCCAATTTCCGGAAAATGATATTAGGAGTCAAAATATGTTGAAAATTACTTCGGATTTGGAATCAGAACGCTCAATTCAATAACTGTTCATAGTTTTCATAGAAAATTTCCAGTTCAGAAAAATCAAATTTTGTCTCACTTCTCATGGGTTCTGGAATTTGCAGGAGGAAGGGAAAGTCCGAAGATGAAGTCAGTTACGTAAGATACGGGGGTGCTTCCGTAAAAAGTGCGACAAAATTTAGTTTTTCAGAACAGAAAATTTTCCGAGAAAACTATGAATAGTAAGTAAAGCGTGCGTCCTGATTCCGAATTTGAAGTGGTTTTCGACTTCTTTTGACTCCTAATATCATTTTCCAAGAATTGGGGTGGTTCCATGGCTGTTGGCGAGCAGTGTATATCACTGAAGATGACCCCACTTGGTTATATAGTGCATTTTTGGTATATCTCTCGCTCCAGCAAATTTCAGGATCCTTACCCAACGAATACGTAAGATACAGGGGTGTTTCCATTTGAAGTGGGCCACACTGTATATTGAAATATTACTCATATTTTTATTTTATAGAAACGAGGAGAAAATCACAAATAAGTGAAATGTTATATCTTTGATTGAAATAAATCTGACCTTTTTCTGATGGTTCGTTTCCTTCATTTGAATCATCTGTTGGTTTTATGATACGATTGAGTTTGATATCGATTTTTTTCACAATTTCGGGAAAGGGTTGCAATTCCGAACCCTCTTTATCTGGGCCCTGCCGCTTCGGGGATTCATCTTTTGTGTCTGATGCTGATTTTGTTGATATGCGATTGAGTTTTATCTCGACCTTCTCCGAGGTCTTGATAGCAGAATTCGAATCACTCGTGTCTAATTCTGAAGCCAAACTCTGCTGATTTTCGGCCATACATTTTCTCTTGAAAGCGCGAATGAGATGTCTTTGTCGTTTCTGAAAAATCATATGACAGTATTAGAATGAAACCTATTTTCCTAGAACATTTAGATGGTGCGACCATGCAAACATATACAGAGTGGGCCTTTGAAAACGAAACAGAGGCTCTGTAGGTCGCCAAAACCGGATTATGAAAAGAATCTGAAACACGTCAACTACGTTTTCGAGGAGGACATCGTCCTACAATATTTTCAGCCCTGCGACGTTGCCGCTGCTAACGAAAAGAAGCAACAACTTTGTTAATTCAAATGGAACACCTGGTATTTCATTGCATTTTTAGATTCTCCCCGAAGAGCTGATTTCATCAATGCATCACACTTGGGGTCTAGCTGTAATGGTTTCAGGGATATAAAGTGTTCAAAATCGAGATTTTTCAACTTTGACATTTTTTTGTGTCGAAACTATTCATTATTGGTCGAAACGGCTCTCATGTCCCTATCTCAACTTGTGATTTACTATCTACTGACATTTAATTGGAACAGATACAGGGTGATCAGAATTCTGAATCTTGAACCACCCTGTATTTGTTTCAAATAAATGTCAGTAGATAGTAAATCACAAGTTGAGATCGGTACATGAGAGCCGTTTTGACCAATAATGAATAGTTTCGACACAAAAAAATGTTAAAGTTGAAAAATCTCGATTTTGAACACTTTATATCCCTGAAACCATTATAGCTAGACCCTAAGTGTGATGCATTGATGAAATCAGCTCTTCGGGGAGAATCTAAAAATGCAATAAAATACAAGGTGTTCCATTCGAAATAACAAAGTTGTTGCTTCTTTTCTTTAGAAGCGGCAACGCCGCAGGGCTGAAAATATTTTAGAAAGATGTTCCCCTCGAAAATGTAGTTGACCTGTTTCAGTTTTTTTTGATAATCCGGTTTTGGCGACCTACAGAGCCTCTGTTTCGTTTTCAAAGGCCCACTCTGTATAATAGTTCATTCAGACATTTG